AGAATCCATTGGGAAAGACACCAAGAACACATTGTAGTGAATTTTTTATTTTGGTTATGAACATATAACTGTATCATTGGTTGTGTACTTAGGTTATTCAAGTGAAGTTTTAATGTTATCCAATATACTTGTATAAGTCAAATTATGATTTCGTTTTTGGACCTTTCAGGAATATTAGAATATGGGGCACTTGTTACACGTGAGTGAAATGGAAAAGAAGATTGAAACTCTAGCAAAAATCACTTGGATGTTATTAAAAAAATAAGGTAATGTCGTTAACGCCTTCTTTGAATATTTTTGTTGTCAAGCATTGTGTTGGCTATGCCATATATATGGCTATTGGCTATGTCATTAACGCCTTCTTTGAATATCTTYRTTTTGGTTTATTGTAAAGATTATGTTGAAGCCCAAGCTTTCGAATCATGCAGATAATGGATCTGGGGATGGCAATCATACACAAATGACGTATGCGGAAGATAGGAAAGTGGATGTCAATGCCTATATGCATGCCCATGGCTATTTGGTTTCAGTATTAATGTTTGTAGGTAGGTTGGTTGTTTATGGCATAAACTTCATATAGAAAGAATGATTCAAATGGCTTCARGTTTGATTTGTGGTAAAGAATCTTAAATTATTGTTTGTTTGTTTGTCTATAATGAAACAAGCATTCCTATCTCTTCAAAACGAGTGAAGTTGTAGAAACCAGAAGCAAATCCTATCATCATAATACCTTAAACATTCTACAAATATTCTACAGGGAAACCAAATTAATTTTAGGAGTTAGTTTCCTAATCAAATTCAAATTGTATAGTTGTGATATATGCATTCTTTGTCATGAGCTAAAGTTATATCCATATATTTATCGGTTACAAGATACAGGGTGTTGGACAGATGTTGCAACTTYGGCTGCAACACATTTAAAAGGAACCAATTATGCAAATGCAAGGTTCAGGGGCCGTTTACCCAAATGCTTACCTGGTAAGCGCTTACCAATAGGACTCAACACTATAATTTATTTAGATGCGTAAAATTTTAGTACATCAAAGCATATTGAATGCAACAATTTACTAGGTAAGCGCTTACCTGGGTAAGAGTCGTCATCCTCACTTACCGGGTAAGACTCTCCATCTTTCTTATCGCTCTTATCCGGTAAGATTTTTGGTTCTTGTCATGTTCATCCGATGAGAAAATTTATGCGTTAAGCACTTGTGTTTAGTAAACGACCTCTCACTCACATCTTCTTTACAATAGAATAGATATTGATGGGAACATGAATTGTCTGATTTGTTTGTTATTTGCATCTTTTGTTTTCATAAATTGATACTGAATTTTTGCATCTTTTGCATCTTTTTAAATGTATGTAACATGCATGTACACATTTTGGCTTTTGAGAAATCATGTATTTTTTATGTGTATATTGAGACCAGTTCTAAGTGAGATTAATATTCATGATCTTGAAGTTTAAGCATCCAAGGTAAAATGGGTAACTTTAATAGGTTTAGCTATCAAAACTTTGTTTTTTTTGTCTAGAAATTGAGAATATCATATCTTCTAAAAAATATGTTTCGAACCATAACTCTTATTATTCAAACTGTATTAATATGTAAAAGACAAAATATAAGTTACATCATCGTTAAAATCTCTTTTAACAAAACCATTGAAGCTTCAAAATCGTTAAAATTCACGGATCCCGCTGCATTGCGCGGGTACACAACTAGTTAGTACTTTACAAATCCTCATTATTTAAGAAAATAATAAATCAATTAAGGCTTTTAAAAGTAATAATGGTCTCAAAAAAAGTATTCAAACGCAAGAAAGTGGTGCCGGATTGGTTTGAGCTTGGGTTTCAAAAGTCAAAAATGTCTGGAGGTCTCAGGTTCAAATCCAAGTAAGAATAAAAATCCCCTTGTGACCATGAAAGTTCAAATACGGTGACTCCGGGCTACCCGCAAAACAGATGGTTATCCTGGAATTAGTCAGCTCGCATAGCGAATACGTCGAGGGTATTTTTAAAGCGGATTTTATCAAATATTGTAAAAACTAAGTGCTACGATTTCAGGTTTGTAATACACCCGAACACATCCCCATCTGTATCCTCTATAGGGCATCTTTAATGAGTAGCACCAAATTTTACATCAAAACCATAAAAATTGGTAACAATAAATCTTCTTCGGTGAATAATACTAAGAGGTTGTTTACCAAACGCTTACTAGTAAAATTCAACACTACAACTCACTTACCGGTAAGATTTTAGTCCACCAAAATGATATCGTATGCAATATTTACCCGGTAAGCGCTAACTGTGGTAAGAGTATTTGCCATCACTTACCGGATAAGACTCTTAGTCCTTGCCTTCGTTCTTACCGGGTAAGATTCTTGGTCCACATCATATTTATACAGTAAGGTAATGTGACTTGGTAAACGCTTACCCAGATAAGATTCTAAGTATATTTCTTTTATTTTTTCTGATTGATGTAAAATTTGCTGTAAATGAATAATATTACACAAAATTTGACGTTTTACTATTCATTATACCAAAAGTGGGGTAAGATTTGGTGTCGTTATTGGAGTAATTTTATGTCTTTCATTGGAAATGTTCCAAGTTCTAACAAGTAAATAAGTTTCAAATAACTAAATAATGGAGGGGTAGTTTTGTTTTAATATGATGTATAGGGGTTAAAACTGTAATGATAAAATATATAGGGGGTTAACTGTAACTTTTTCTATTAAGTATAAGTTGCCCGCAAAAATGGCGCAGTTTCAATAAATGGCAACTTTAGCCCTCAGAGCACGGCGGCAGCTCGCCTTTGGTCTACTCCGGACACTTTCTCGTCGGCGCTTCTCTAATCTCAACTGTAACTCACTCTCTGTGTTCTTCTTTCTTATTTTGCTAAATTTATGCATGAAATAGCTTTTATAATCCATGTACAGATGCTTCGAACGTTTGTAAAGACGATAATGCTGATGGAACAAACCCTAGCTTCATACATCCTTCATCTGTTGTTCATCCTAATGCGATTATAGGTCAGGTATGTTTAGATGTTAATGCTGAAAGATTATGTATTGCGTGCTTGCAAATGGCTATCCACTTTTGATGATATAGATAACCTAGAGAGCAGTAAGTAATTAGCAACTGCATTTAAGGGTGACGTATTGCCATCGTTTTTTCAAATAAGTATGTGTCTTTGATTTTTGTTAACTTTGGGTATCGATTTAATCCTCTACGTATGACAAATAGGTAATATTGAATTATTAGAAGACAAATACATACAACAAGCGAACAAATTGTGCTTGCAAAAGATAGAAAATATGTTTACATACCTAACACTCAATCTTGCTGCCTTCACCTGATACACACACACACATATTTATATGATTATATATTTTTTTAGGGGTTGTTTGGTTGGTTTTCCATTAAGTCCCGTGTGGATAACATAGTTTTTGTTGATTAATTTGTCTATAGATTCAAAAGGTTTTTGCATTGGAGGGTTTTTTCTTAGATGGAAGGAGCATGCCTTTTAGTTGGGAGGGGCATGTTCAGAAAAAAAGACTTGGCTCTCAGCATAAAGCTCCTTCTAGAAGCTTATTAAATAAGACACTTTCTATATGATTTAGCCGCTACCAAACATTTATGTATAGCTGATCGAATAAGATGTGAGTCTCATTAAGCTACGAACAACTAGGCCCTTAGTTTCATACATCTGTATGCATAATTTAATCCAATTCTTTTGCTGCTATTACATTTACGGTAGATAGCAACATGTAAACAGAAAACAAGAAGTAGGCTGTTTTTTTGGATACAATGGTGCTCTAAAAATGACCAAAAACAATAATGAGGCACAGACTAGGTAAATATAAATATTATACATGAATTACTAGAGCGACTACAATCAGAAGTAATATCATGATAGCTGGAATTCAGCTTCATTGGTATTTCACAGTCATGTTTGAGATTGCCTTAAATTATCAAATAATTAGATTGTTCTGTAACTTATATAATGATAAAACTGTACTAGCTTGCAGGGTGTTACGATTGGCCCCTTTTGCAGCGTGGGTTCTTCGACAAAGTTGGGGAATGATTGCAAACTACATCCTGGAAGTCATGTTTTTGGAAACACAGAATTGGGAGATAAATGCATCTTGATGAGGTTAGTTCAGATCGTTTAATTACTGTTTCTTGATAAAGATTACTCTTCTAGCTTTGATTCTTATTGTATGCGATTGTCAAGCAGTGGGGCGGTTGTTGGAGAAAACATTCCCGGGCGAACAATCATAGGATGCAATAATGTTATTGGTCATCATGCCGTCATTGGCCTCAAATGCCAAGACATGAAGTATAAGGTAGCTGGTTTGTATGGCACTAGTAGGGGTTGGGTACTTTTTTTCCATTAAGCTTTGTATGAGTTAAGTTGTGTGTCTGGATAAATTTGTCTGTTTGAGGGACGGGGATGGGAGACCTATGGGTTTGAGGGAGGCAAAAAGAGAGGGTTGGATTATTTTTGGGTTGGTATTAATTTGTTTGAGGTGGCTTAATGGGAACAAGTGAGGGGTCCTGGCTTATTCCATATACCCATTTTAGCTTAATGCATTAACGATTTAGCTGCAAAGAAATACTCCTGTATGGCTGAGCGAATAAACCGCCCAAACCATTAAGCTCATTAAGCTGTAAGTAAACTTGTAATTGCCGGTTGCTGTTGCGAATCCTTGGTTATTATTCTCTCCTTTCTTTCTCATGGTGCTTCTCTGTTCATGCGTCTACTGTAAGATGTTTCAAATTAAGAAAGTTTTGCTGTACTCCCAACATTTAATGATGGGAGTACAACAAAACTTTAAATTCATAATTGCTAATCTCTGCGCTACTCTTTCTGTTATGGTCTTTACCGCGGAAAACACACATACAATTCCCTGCCAACCATAGTCAGGGGCTGTTTGTTTGGTTTTCTATCAAGTCTTGTAGGGATAAAACAGTCTGTGTGGATTAATATGTCTGCATAGATTGGCAAGGTTTTTGTTTGAGAGAGTTTGTTCATAAATGGGATGAGTTTGTTTTTTAATTGGAAGGGGTATGTTCGGAAAAAACTTGGCTTTCTGCATAAAGCTCCACTCTAGAGCTTACTGAATAAGCGACTTTCTATATCATTAAGCCACTACCAAACTGTCATGTATAGCTGATCGAATAAGATGTGAGTTCCATTAAGCTGCTAACATATAGACCCTCAGACTGTTCTGATGGTTCACTATTGTTGTCAGGCAGGTAATGAATGTTTTCTTCAAATTGGTGATAACAACGAGATCAGAGAACATGTTTCTATCCATCGATCTTCAAAGTCTTGTGATACAACAGTATGTGAAAATCTTTTTCCCTTTCCGATATTTAAAAAACTTGATTCACGCTTGTTCTTGAATTGAAGGATTTTGTATAACCAGGTTATCGGCAATAACAATCTTATCATGGGATCTTGTCATATAGCCCATGACTGCAAAGTGGGTAGCAACAACATTTTTGCAAATAATACCCTTTTGGCAGGCCATGTGTTGGTCGAGGTTAGTCCTTGTTTTGTATTTCTCCGCTGCTATATGTGATCAATTTGGGTATTCTATGGCCAAAGCTAAAGTCTTGTTTACATGTCTACGTGTAGGATCATGCACACACTGCTGGGGCCATCGTCGTTCATCAGTTCTGTCATATAGGTTCCTTATGTTTCATTGGTGGTGGTTCAGTGGTAAGATTCTTTGCCAACCTTGTCGCTTTTATGCTTCGAACTAGACATATGACACACATGGTAGGGTTCTCTTAGGCTGTGTTTGGTATCCAGACAGGATAGAATAGGGCAACTGTTCAATTTTGGTAAGACATAGTTGGACAATACAAAACAGATAAAATGACCAATTTATTCATAATGAGTTGTTTATATATTTTGATTTTATTCTTTAAATTATAATAAAATAAATATTTTTTACAACAAAATATATCATTAGAAAGTTTTAGTCAAGATAATTGAAATAACACCAAACTAAAACCGTAAAACGTTCATATAGTTTCCCGTTCTTGTTTTATACCTTTTCTATATTATTTTAATATTTAATGAATTACATAAGTAAATTTTAAAGAGCATAAAACACAAGAAGTAAAAAATAATATCTTGAGGATAGTAAAGTGAAAGTTTAAAGAGCATAAAACACAAGAAGTAAATTTTAAAGAATGAATAATGTAAAGAGGAAGGCGTATTTAATGTTTGAGAGGAAAAGTAGGTTTATTTGAGGTTATATTGGTAAAATATAAGTCTGTTCCAGCTTGTTCCATGGGTAGGAGATGGAACACGTCTGTTTCACTTTGTCCTCGTTTGTTCCACATAAAATTCTTGCCAAACGTGGAACAACGATCTATGTTTTGTCCAGTGCAGTGTACCAAACGCACCCTTAGGACCAGTGTTGTTTGACGGAATGTTTTTGAGGGATTCGGATTTCGTGGAAGGATTTGAAATCTTTGGTGTGTTTGGTTTGTAGGATTTGGAATGGAATTGAACTCCATTCTTTATAAATAATATATAGAACAAAGTTTACAAAATTATAGAAGTATTAAAATTACTTTTTTATTAATTTATTGTTACAAAACAAGTGTTTTTAACATATTATAACATTATTACAAACAATCATATGAAATCCTGTGAAATGCCAACTACCCCATGGGACCATGGGATTTCTAAATCCATGTTTGTTGTATTTCAGTGAAATCCTGGGATTTCAAACCCAAGCATTTCTTCAAACAAAACATAGAATTGGGAATAGAATTCAATTCCAAATCCTATCAAATCCCGCAAACCCCACGGGACCTTATTTCCGATTAAAATTTCCATGAAATCCCCTGCTTGTATTTTGCTTAATCAAAATTTAGAAATCCGAATTCTTAATCTGTATGCATTAGGTTTCACAAGATGTCCCTAAGTACACAATGGTGGCTGGAGACAGAGCGGAGCTACGTGGTTTGAATCTAGAAGGTCTTCGACGACGTGGGTTCTCAGTTTCTGAGGTTAGCTTCTGGTAAACTAAATCAATTAGCATAATATAAAATAAAATAAAAAATAATTATAAAAAGTATGAATCCAATAAAAATGACAAACAAGTGGGGTTTTGCCACAATACAAGTGAGTTTTTTCTTATTTTTTTTCTTTCTTTTCTGCTGTTACCAAAAAATTATAAGAGAAGCAAAGGGATTTGAACTTGCAATCTCTAATGCCACATGCAATGACACTACCAGTAAGGGTGCAACCACTTTTGTTAACTTAAGAGAGCACACATCAATTTTAAGTTGGTGCACCTTTAAGACCCCTAAAACAATTTCCACTTTGTCGGCACGATAGAGCGTGCACCCTTTCTGGTCTTCTTAACCCCACCCCCCCGGTTGGGTTTATGCCTCTTCCGCATGACAGTGTAATGACTTTAAGTCTTTAAACTCTAAATTGGAGGATGTGGGCCTATACTTCTATTATTTCCCAAAAGATATTGTTTGAAGATGCATGCAGTTCATGAGTTCTCCCACCTTTATATGTTTGATTATTCGAGTTGGGCTACTCTTACATAGTGGTACTTCATTTCATTGGCAAGAATATAGATTAGGAGCCTGAGAGCAGCTTATAGGAAGATATTCATGCCTACTAGTGCAAACCTTGGAGGCATTGAAGACCGCCTTGTTGAAGTGGTAATACAATTCTTCTTTTTGCGACTTTTCTCTCAAAGTATTGTTGATTTTTATCAAAATAAGATTAGTTGTTTGGCAAGTTAGTGTATTACTAAAAAGAAAAGAAGCAAATAATGTAGGAATGCCATGAAGATCTATCACTCGTTCCTGCTGTGCTTTCCCTTGTGCAATCGATACGTGAATCTCTTGGAGAAGATCGTCGTGGAATTTGCAAATTCCGATCTTGGAGTTTTTCTTGAGTGTGCATGTATCTGTATCTTTATCATCTTGTGGTAAGTTTTCTTTTTGTCTATGTGTGGGTATTTGTATATACATACGTACATATATAGGAGAAGGTCCAAATAAGAACCATAAATACTTTGAGAACGTGAGAACTTATATATGCATTGATGTATATACACACTATGAAATTCAGTGAGTATATGCACTATGCATATATACTTGCATATAAAATACATATACATTGATGAATATACTGATTGATAGATACATATTTTAATGGTCCATATATGCATTTATATGCATATACAGATTCTCACGTTTCTTAAAATATGTATAGTTCAAATTTGAACCTACCCCTGTATATAAGTATATGTATGTATGTACTGAAACAATGCTGTGTCTTGGAAAGAAGAAAGTTGAACCTTGGGATGCATTAGTTCAACGTTTGGTAAGACATGACTGGATAGGACGGACCATTAAAATGACTAATTTACCCCCAATGAGCCGTTTAGTGTTTCTTTTACCAAATAACCAATCTAAATGAAAATTAACAAATAATATCTAAAATGCAAAAACATCCAACCTAAATATTGATTAAAAAGCTCATGATTCCACCATCACATTCATGAAATCAAAAGATTTCATCAAATTACAACACATCTTAAACGCAAATGTTTACCAACAAACACAATTCCACCTTGTTTGGAAAAAACCTAAACCACAAATGTTACCAACAAACACAATTCCAACATTGTTTAGCAATAGGCCTAAAACACAAATGTTACAAACACATCATCAAATTCTCACATGGCTAACTTCTTCAATACCATTTTCATTTAGATTGATTATTTGGTATAGTAAAACACTAAACAACTCATTACGGGTAAATTGGTCATTTTACCAATCTTGTCTTACCAAACGCTGCAAATCTGTTTTGTCTTGTCCTGTCCAGTCTGCGTACCAAATACATGCTTAAGGTCATTTATTTAAAGGGCCTCATTCTTCTATTGGGCAGAGGCAGTCTTAAACATGTCATAAGGTCATGCATGAAAAAGATCTAGTTATCTTCCTAAGCAACTCAGACCGAAACTAAGATTAGCGTGCTTGCTATTAGAAAGTGAGAGCTGAAAATAGTTCCTATCAACTTACAAGATAACATTTGACTCAAGTGTAGTCTTCTAGCTATTCTTACTCCTAGCAGCTCTATTTCCCAATGTCTTTTGCAGATTTCTCCTACACCCATTTTCATCTCTACCTGGTGCTCTTCATGTTCTTGGTATTACCACTTGCCAGTTCCCAAATTTTGCTCGGATATTGTGAGATTTCGAGGTTGTACTACTTCATGTGAAGACCTTTATGACTTCTTGAAAGATATACGCGGACATAGATGCAAACCGAAAAGTTTCGGTTGGAAGATGGTAAAAAGAAGATTGATGTGATTTGTTTCGTATGAAACGGTAAAATATTGATCTTTTACTATTTTTACCAGCAATTTAGTGCTAATTACAAGAAATTATAACTTTCTATGATAGAAATGAAGAAACCTTTGTTTAGTTTGAAGAGATCTTGCTTCAGGGAACGTTTTTTTTGGGTTGGGGAGATCTTGCTTTCACCTCGACTAATCCCATAGGACCCTGAATATAACAGTCAGGAAAATCTCCAGTAACACTAAGTAGACTCGAACTAGTGACCTACGGTAAGGAGTCTAAAAGTCTAGTCTTTCTTTGTCGGCTGAGTTTCAAGAAACCTTGTGGTCCAGTTAGCATTTAACTTACATAATTGTACCTTTTAAGCCTAGTTGCCATGTTGTGACACTAATATGTGGCCTACACATGTACTATTTAAACTATCTTTTTAGCTCTATTTGTGCCTTCTCTTCCATGCTAAAGTGGATTGGAGTCATCAAAGCTTTGTTTAAACACATGTGGGAGGTATCTGAATGGTTTTCTTTGTAATTTTTATAACAAGTACTTAGATTGCTCAATTATGATTATATACCATGATGATGCATACAAGTACAAAAGGGTTTAATTTAATTTCCTTTTTAAAATGTTTTTTGTACTTTGTTAGAACCTTTTGATTAGATCAAAGTGCTCTTGTACTTGTAAAAGTAGTGGTTTTCCACAGCTGATATGCATGAAAACCTCATATTATTGTCATAAAAAGTAGATGATTTTAGTGTACAATAACATTAGTGCTAATAGATTGTTCAACTCCCTTTTTCCCCATGCATTTGCACACGAAGGGTTGGGTTTTGGTGAGACTGACCTGTTTTCGTGAGACTACAAAATGACACTGAAGTATTGAACCTTAAAAGCAAAACACTGTCAAGGTACAAAAATACTATGAAGAACCACAAGGGTGGTGCCTGATTGGTTTTGAGCTTGGCTCCAAAGGTCAAAAGTACCAGGAGGTCCCAGGTTCAAATCCAAGGAGGAATAAAAATCCCCTTGTGGCTACGGAGGTTCAAATGTGGTGACTCCGGACTATCTGCAAAGCACGTGGTCGCCTTGAGATTAGTCGGCTCGCATAGCGGGTTGGATATCTAGGTTAATAATAATAAAAAAATACCATGAAGGTAAAGTGTTCTTGCTATGAAGGTTCAGTGTTATTTTGTGGTCTCACATGATCCCAAGTCAGAACATGGATCTTGATTTCCTAATAATGGCTTTTGTTATCAGATACAAACATGCTTTCTTGATATCTAAATCCCCATGTTGCTGCAAATGTCGGTCTTTATCTGTTATTCCCGAGTTTAGTCTACATTTTTTGTGATGTTTCGTTTGAATCCTCTTGGGTTTGTGAAATTGGATCTGCGTATGTGCACGTAAAGGTTAAGTACCTCCTTTGTGAGAGTGGGTTATTTAGGAGGGAGAGTAACCTTTTGACAGTTGTTTAAATGTACGAGTTTGTTACAGATTTTGAGTCATTCTGATGTTAGGTTCTGAACAATTCTTTTATGGCTTGTACTATCAGATGTAATAAGAACATTTATGCTTGTGTTCTTTCCATTGGATGCCAATCTTGAAATCTATGGATTTTGTGTGCATAGTGGATGCTATCTTGTCTGGCCAAAACCACAAGGGTGGTTCCTGACTGGTTTGAACTTGGGTTTTAAAGGTCAAAAGAGCGTGGAGGTCCCAGGTTCACATCCAATGAGAAATAAAAATCACCTTGTGGCCACAGAGGTTCAAATGCAATGACTTCGGGCTATCTGCAAAGCAGGTGGTCGACGTGAGATTAGTCGGTTCGCATAGCGGGTTGGATATCCAGGTTAATAAAAAAAAATTCTCGTCTGGCCAATATGATTTAGGGAGATTATATTATAAAGTAGTATCAAGCATGAACACTTTGATACATTTCTTTAAGATATCTTAGCTTGTAGATTGATTTAGAAAAAAATAATATGAACTACTTTCTCATGGGAAAGCATGGTCAAAGAAAGTTAATTAGGATATATATATATATATATATAGAGAGAGAGAGAGAGAGAGAGAGAGATTTTCATATGAAAACAGTAACTAAATGAGAGAATAGAATAAAGGTCGAATCACATGTGATTCATGCAACTTTGGCCTCGACCAGAGGTTGTGGGGCACGTTGTCTGCACACCTTTGTGTTGACCGTTAATGTAAAATCACATGTGATTTTGTACATGAATTGATCGTTTTTATATTCTTTTATTTGGTTATTGTCATCGTTTGAACATTCCCCCCCCCCTCCTCTTCTCTATGTGTGTATGTATGTCGGCAGGTTCATTTAATAACCATAAAAATAACTTATTTTATATATAATATACATAATGAATAACATGATAAATATTCATGATGAGCAATAATTATTATTATTCTAGGTCATCCATCATAAATACTATTTTATATAGATGGTATCTGGGTTTCAAATAAACCTTCCACTAATATATATATATATATATGTATATATATATATATATGTATGTGTGTGTGTTTTGAAGATTCCATATAGTAATGCCAATTGCCAAATGCTTTTAGATTAGCCAATGAAGGGTTGTTTGTGTTTGTGGGTCTCAATTGTTATATGCACCTGAATGGTTCGGAAATTATTTGTAAATCCAAATGACATCACTCTTGATGGCTTTCAATCCAAAAATTGATAGGAATCTTTGTATTCTTTATGTTCAATATGTTTGTATTTTAAAATCTAAACTAAATCGATTGGTCGAATCGGTTGACCTCTAGATGAGTCTCGATTAATGATTTTAGAAAATTGTTTAAAAATAGTAGCCCAACGGTTGACGTTGGATCATCGAACTGGTGGACCTAACGATGTCATTTTATCTCTAAATCAAATGTATATACAAAATCTCATTGAAATATGGGGTATGACGCACGCATCATCGCAAAGGGTAAGGAGTAAGACTGTATTTATTAGTTGTTGGCTGATAAGTTAACTGTTAGCTGAAAAGTAACCCAACATGATGGATATGTTGTCATGAGAAGTAGTGAAGGTACCCTTATATTGTGTGAATGTTACGTTATATTTTGTAAATGTGGTGAAGATTACGGGACCTGAATGTGCACATTCATAAATCTGCACATGTTTTCACATAATATAAGAGTACCTCCACATATTATGTGAAGGTTATTTTTATATTTCGTGAGGGCTACACTTCTTATACTTCTCTTGGGAACCCGGTCCTATATATATATGTGTGTGTGTATATATATATATGGGCTTAATCAAATGAGAACTGATTAGTTTGTGATAACTGTGAGATCCAATCTCAATCATAAATCAATGGATAAATTAGGAAATTAATAATTATGATAGTTTGGCATTTTAGGTATTTTTAAAAAACTTCTCTCTCCTCTCTCATCTCTTGTCTTTCCGACCTTCAATCTCCGACCTCCGATGAACAAAAATCCGGCAGGTACCAAATAATCACAAAGATACACAATGTGATACCCATTGTGATATATAGGGGTACTCAAATGGTATTACAATATATCGCAATGGGTATCACAATGAAATATCACATTGTGTATCTTTGTGATTACTTGGTACATGCCAGATTTTTGTTCACCGGAGGCAGAAGATTGAAGGTCGGAGAGATGAGAGATGAGAGACGAGAGAGAAGAGAGGAGTTTTTTAAAAATACCTAAAATGCCCTCTAATTATAATTTTAACTCAAACTACCATAATTACTAATTTCCTTGTTTATCCATTGATTTGTGGTTGAAATTGGATCTCATAGTTACCACAAACTAATCAGTTCTTCCTTGAATGAGCCCATATATATATATATATATATATATATATATATATATATATATATATATATATATATATATAGGCGAAGGACCATGTGAGAAATAGAGTTAAGGTGAGAAGCGTGATAAATAATCTGAACCATTGATCATGTTTAATCTCAAATCCAACCATGAATTGCACTTGACGCGGTGATTAGTTTGGTGCATCTCGGTGTATCTCATTCTAATGTACATATAAGGGTGAAGATCCATTCTTACGCTTCTTACTTTAACTCTTTTTTTCACCAGAATCCAAATATATATATATATATATATATATATATATCCCTTTGAATATGTTGAACACTAGTAGACTTTTTCTTTTTATGTATATTTCTATTATATTAAGGTAGATGTGTAGTTGTATCATAATTAATTATTAGCTACCCAATACGAATTTAGAAGCTTTTGATATTGAATGAGGTTTAAAGCAATATTGTTTTTTTCTTACCAAACTATATATATATATATATATATATATATATATATATAGGGTTGGATTCACGTGAGACAAAAGGTTTTTCGTGAGACCCGTAAGATCAATTTATGTTCATTGATCAACTTTATAAGCTAATGATCTAATGGTCTAAAGTTGCACGCTGACAATTGATCAATGAACATAAATTGGTCTTACGGGTCTCACGTTGAGACCAACCTGTTTTCGTGAGACCCGTGAGACCACTTTTTTACACTTGAAACTTCACAGTAAAACGTTGTGAAGGTAACATTTACAGTGTTTTTGCTGCGAATGTTCAGTTTTTTTATCTTTACAATGTTTTGATGTGAAGTTTCAAGTATAAAAAAATGGTCTCATGAGTCTCAATAGTCTTGCAAGACTTGAACGACGACCTTTAAAGAGAATCTCCAAACACCCAAAATTTATTGATAGTAGTGATGCGATTGGAGCAAAATAGGCATTTAGTTAACGATATTAAATAAGTTTACAGTAAAAAGCATGATTAAAAAAAATTTAACTTAGTAACCTTCAAATAACTTGTTTCTGGTGTTAAATATTATGCCTCTTGTGTAAATTAAAAATGTCTGCTCCATTTGAAAATACAGTAAAAGGTTAATTTGTAACAATGACTTTTACAACTGGTCGTTTAGTTAAATAACCTCGCAACATGATCATATCAATAGGTGGGGAGGGTGTGTGAGTTTATTTGTTGCATTTGCCGTATATAAATATTACATGATCATATCAAAGACAATACACGTACAAGTTACTAAATCATGAGTGTTCTGGAACCCAAATCATAAAATACCCGTAGCAGATACTTGGTTAATCTTTACTACGACAAAATTAGGTTTATAAAACGTCAAAATTATCTAAATGTTCTAATAAACTGTTTTATAGGACGAAACAAATTAACGGTCCATCATATGTGAAAATGTTACAATAAGGGGTTGTTTACCAACAATAGCTGGTAAGCGCTGTCTGATAAGAGGTCTGATTAGAGTAAGCATATCTGACTGAAGTAAATGTAAAAATGTGGTCTCACGGATCTCATGAAAACAGACTGGTCAAACGTGAACATAACCGTGTATATATATATATATATATATATATATATATATACATATACATACATATATAGGGTTGGGTTCACGTGAGACCAACCTGTTTTCGTGAGACCCGTGAGATCATTTTTTTACATTTGAAACTTCACAGCAAAACGTTGTGAAGGTAAAAAAAAGCCGAACTGTGAAGTTTCAAGTGTAAAAAAGTGGTCTCACGGGCTTACGAAAACAGGCTAGTGTCACGTGATCCCAAAAGTCTACGTATACACACACACACACACACACACACACATATATATATATATATATATATATTATAGAGATGGGTTATTATACAACACTTTACATTTGTACAGCCAATACAATTCAATCTCAACCGTCCATTTAATTTGATGAATATGTAATTTCATAGAAGTTTTGATTATTTTCTAATATAAAGTATTGATCATAATTATTCATCTTCCATAAATATTTAAATCATAATAAATGAACTCTCATCATTTTCATAAATATTTCAATTTATTGGATTGTATTGGTTGTACAAATGTAATGAGTTGCATCTGAAACAAACTCTCTCTCTCTCTCTCTCTCTATATATATATATATATATATATGTATATATATAAGGGTTGGGTTCACGTGAGACCAATGGTTTTTCGTGAGACCCGTAAGACCAATTTATGTTAATTGATCAACTTTATAAGCTAATGATCTAAAGTTGCACGGTGATAATTTTATGATTATTGAGAATTCTCTTGGCAATTTTGTGACTATGAATGTTTAGATTGTAGATCTAATCCAAGAGTTGAGAATTGGTCTTAAAGATATCACGAAAACTCCTTGATCTCACATAATCCAAAGTCATATATATATAGAGAGAGAGAGAGAGAGAGGTTGGTTATTATACAACATTTGTCATTTGTGCAACCAATGCAACCCAATCTCAACCGTCCATTTCATTTGATTAATATGTGATTTCATAGAAGTTTTGATTGTTTTATAATATAAAGTATTGATCATAGTTAATGAATCATATTCATTTTCCATAAATATTCAAATCATAATAAATGAACTCTCATCATTTCCATAAATATTTCAAATTATTGGGTTGTATTAGTTGTACAAATGCAATGGGTTGTATTTGAAACAAACTCTATATATATATATATATAAAACAATATATGTATTGTCTTAAAAAATTCGATCTTTTAAAGTAGGGAAAATTGCACCAAAATGGAACCAACTTTCACGTAATTCCTATTTTGGGGAACTAACTTTTAAAATCGTCATTTTGGGGAACCAACTTGCACATGATTCATATTTTGGGGAACCAACTTTCAAAATCGTCATTTTGTGGAACCAACTTGCACCTGATTCCTATTTTGGAGAACCAACTTGCAAAATAATTATTGAAAAATAACTAAAATTCGTTTTTTTCCAAAAAATAATGCAATAAAATCTATTTTTCATTTCAAATCTCGTTTTTTTTAATTCAGATATCAAACTGAAAATTTTAAAAAATATCCAAATTACCACAATAAATTTTTTTTTACTAATGCAAAAAAAATCAATTTAATAGAAAAAAATTAATTTATGCAATTGGTTAGATATAAAAATAAATCAATTTAATAGAAAAAAATTAATTGATGCAATTGGTTAGATATAAAAATCTTGAATGTGATATTTAATATTTATTTTTTATTGCATCAATTAATTTTTTTCTATTAAATTGATTTTTTTTACATTAGTAAAAAACAAATTTTATTGTGGTAATTTGGATTTTTTTTTATGTTCAGTTTGATATCTGAATTAAAAAAACGAGATTTGAAATGAAAAATAGATTTTATTGCATTAATTTTTGGAAAAAAAAAACGAATTTTAGTTATTTTTCTATAATTATTTTGCAAGTTGGTTCCCCAAAATAAGAATCAGATGCAAGTTGGTTTCCCAAAATGACGATTTTGAAAGTTGGTTTCCCAAAATAAGAATCAGGTGCAAGTTTGTTCCCCAAAATGACGATTTTGAAAGTTTGTTCCCCAAAATAAGAATTAAGTAAAAATTGGTTTCATTTTAATACAATTTTTCCTTTAAAGTATATCTAAGTAAATTCTGCATATTTTCACACAGTACAATCTTTAATCAAATAAATAACTGTATATATTCGAAAATTCATGGACAAAAAATGTCTTCATCAATGTCTAATCCCTAAATTAATCACCATCATCATTCCAAGATAAGTGATTCTGGTGATAAACACGTTGTTTGTTGTTTTAGGTAAGAACCCAAGTCCATTGTAAAATCGAATATATATATATATATATATATATACACACACACACATCATATATATGTATATATATATATATATACATACATATGTTATCCAATCATTTTATTCTTAGTTTTCCATCCATTTTTGCTGAAACCCCACCTCCCACCACACATATATCATCATCATCTTCATCATCACCCCAAACCTAACACTCTAATCACTTCTCCTTCTTCAATTTTCTCCATTTGGGTCTTCTTTTTTGGGGTTGTTTGATTCTGGGTCTCTGAAAATTTGACCAAAAATGGGGAGGAAATGCTCACATTGTGGTAACATAGGCCACAATTCAAGAACTTGCACTAGTTACAACAGAACCATTGTCAACAACAATAGCACAGTTCATCTGGTAGGGGGCGGTGGCGGTGGCGGGGGCGGTGGATTAAGGCTGTTTGGAGTTCAACTTGACTCACCATCACACTCCATGGTGATGATGAAGAAATGTCTTAGCTTGGATTGCTTGCCGTCGTCTTCACCGTCGCTGCTGCCGTCGGCTTCCGCCTCCCAGTCGCCGTCGTCTTCTTTATCTTCGTCTCGAGTCTCCGTCAACGACCTCCACAAGAATACGTCGGTTGGTTATCTCTCCGACGGTCTCATTGCCAGAGCTCAAGAAAGGAAAAAAGGTATATATACAACAACAATCAACACCAGTTTTCTTAAATCCTGCATGATAGATATAACATAGAGGTTGAGGTCCAGATAAAAACTCTCCATAAAACCAAAACCTAAACAACACCCTCGTAACCATTCATCTGTACCGTATGAACATGTGCATATAAATAACCGAAGCTGTTTCTTTGTTTTTATGCATATGTGCATACCGGACAAATTACTCACGAATTACTTGTATACACATATACATACCAGATGAAATGATTACCATGAAACGATTACCATTTTACCAGGGTCTTACTTAGTTTTTCATTTTTTTTCCTGAACCTAACCCCCCCCCACACACACACACATATATATATATATATATATAGAGAGAGAGAGAGAGAGAGGGTTGGGTTCACATGACCAATGGTTTTTCGTGAGACCTATAAGACCAATTTATATTCATTGATCAAATTTATAATCTAATAATCAAATGATTTATTTAGCATTAAACTTTAAACTTGTAGGGGTATTTTTGACCTATATATGTTTTCTTTTTTTAACCTATATATGTATAGATCTAATCCAAGGGTTGAGAATTATTCTTACGTGTCTAACGTAAAAACCCTTGTTCTCACATGATATATATATATATATATATATATATATATATATGCATACACTGTTTGCTATTATGTTACATTATGATTATGGGCATGCATGAATCCACCTTCAAGATTCAGTTTGTGGTCTGCAAACATGATTGAATCAAGAATGTGAGTTTGAATTTAACATGTTTTAATTAAAGGGTGTGATTTTAATATATATATATATATATGTATGTATGTATGTATGTATAGGTCTACCTTGGTCGGAAGATGAACACCGGCGATTTCTGACGGGACTGGAAAAGCTGGGAAAGGGTGATTGGAGAGGGATTTCAAGAAACTTTGTGACAACAAGAACACCAACTCAGGTGGCAAGTCATGCTCAGAAGTATTTTCTCCGGCAGGCCACTTTGGTCAAGAAGAAACGCCGATCAAGCCTTTTTGACTTGGTAGGTATTTCCCCTTGCTCCTGCATTGAATGGTTGTACTTTAACCATCAAAACTTGTACCACCCTTTTTCGTTAAAACTTTAAACTATGCTATGCAAACCCTATAAAGTTTTGGGATATTTTAGGTTATGAGAATTTTTGTTTTGCAAATTGAATCTTTAGTGTATTTTCTTTAACCGACGATATATAGAAGGTACAACTCCGTAACGCAGGGACCCGAAACTCCCGATTTTGGGCAATTGAAAAAAAATCCCAGAAACCCGTGTTATGTTTTGAATATAAATGTCGAAAACGGTTTCTTAAAAGGTATTCATTGGTTGTCACAGGTAAGGTGTAATGGCATCAAGAACGCAAAAAACCATTGCGTTATCAGTCGGTCGAGCTCCTTCGACGACGATCATCGAGATCAAAGTGACGATCTTTCTTTGATGGATTTCAATTCTCTAAAGCAAGAGAATATTGTCTTCTACAACAATCCAATTGTGAAATCATATCAAACGACATCGATATATTCACATCTGAAGAATGCTTCTCCAAGTGGTACAATTGGCTCAAAAAGTGGTACTCTTGATTTAGAGCTTACACTTGCTTCTCCAAAGCCAATGGACCAAAACAAGTCTTCTACCCCTTCCCTTCAACTTGGTCCAATTATTAGTGTCATTTAGTATCCCTTTGTATCTTAAAAGCATCTAATTATCAAATGTTGTAGATATCGATCGTCTTGAATTCCGAGACGTTAATTCGGAACGAGCCCCGTGATCTGAATAGATTAAGACATTTTTGTAACTATAAGTATATATAATGGGTACCCTTTTGAATAAGAGCTTAATTGATATGAGCATTAACTAATTCATCTATGTTGTTATTCTTCAAATATATACTGAGGGGTCATTTACCAAACACTTACCTGGGTAAACGCTTACCAAGTAACATTACCTCACCGGATGGATAAAGTAAGGACCAAAAATCTTATCCGGTAAGAACGAGAGAAGGATGAAGAATCTTACCCGGTAAGTGAGAGCGACGACTCTTACCACGGTAAGCGCTTACCGGATAAATTATTGTATACTATGTCGTTTTAGTGGACTAAAATCTTATCCGATAATTACATAATAATGTTAAATTTTACTGATAAATACTTACTACTACTTACCGAGTAAGTATTTGATAAAAGGCGCCTTAGTTGATCATGTTTGCATTGGTGTCCACTCATCCAATCTTGAAATTGAATATTTGATGGTTCAAAGAAACTAAAAATTTATAAATAATTGTTTTATTAATTAAAATCTATTTATAATTTTTGAAAATAAAAGTGATGTACTAATTGGTGTCAATTATGACCAACAACATACCCTCATCCTCTGGCAATGATTTTGCAATTAGGATAATAAAAAGATATATATATATATATATATATATTTCTTTTACAACCTTGTGTATTTGTACAATCCTTGCAACCCAATTAATTGAGATATTTATAGAAATTATGGGAGTTCATTTATTATGATTTGAATATTTATGGAATATGAATAGAGTTCATTAATTATGATTAATACTTTATATTAGGAAACAATCAAAACTTCTATAAAATCACATATTCATCAAATGAAATGGACGGTTGAGATTGGGTTGTATTGGTTGTACAAATGTCAAGGGTTGTATAATAACCAACCTATATATATATATATATATATAGAGAGAGAGAGAGAGAGAGAGAGAGATAGAGGAGCGATTAATTGTAAACCATCTTCATTTATGAAAACCCTACAAACTAATCTCATCCATTTATTTTCTTGAGTAAGGTCAAGATTAGATACTGTTATATTAGGAAATTAAAAAAAAATTCAATTTTTAATTAAAAAAGGGCAAAATCGGCAAATCACCCAAATGAATATGTTTCACTTTATGAAACTGTATTTCATCACTGTCCTCTTCACTGTATGCAATTGATTCACTGAATGAAACCGTATGCAACTATTTCACTGTATGTAAAACAATATATTATTACTGTATTAATCTGTATTTATTAACTAGATGAACAAGTATTTCTTCATTGTATGAATCTGTTTCACAGTATTTATTCACGTGTGTGAATCTGATTCATTGTATGAATCTGTTTCACATTATGAAACTGTATTAATCTGTCATCTTCATTGTATGCAACTATTTCACTATTTCACCGTTTTATATTTAAAAACAATTGATTTACACCTTTCATATAAACGGTTTCTATATTTAAAAATAATTAAATAATTTTCAATATTATATTTAAAAACAATTGATTTACACCTTACATATAAACAGTTTCTATATTTACGTTTCCATATTTAAAAATAATTAAATCATTTCCAATATCAACCATTATACACTAAAATGACAATTATACCCTTACTTATTAAAATTAAAGAACATAAAACGAAAATTTCCTATTGGTCGAGAGTGGTTTGCATAGTTTTCACGAATCAGAAGGTTTGTAATCTAACCCGCCTATATATATATATATATATATATATATATATATATATATATATACTAGTTGTGTACNCCTATATATATATATATATATATATATATATATATATATATATATACTAGTTGTGTACCCGCGCAATGCAGCGGGAGCCATGAATTTTAACAATTTTGAAGTTTCACTGGTTTTATAAGATAAGATTTAACGATGATATATGTTACACTTGGTCTTTACATATTAATACAATTTGAATAAATAAGAGTTATGGTTTCAACTACAGACTATCAATGAAAAAAATTGTATGACAGATTAAAATCCAATATATTTAAAATCCAACATATTTAAACGACTCCACAAATGTRTTYGATTTACACCAAGAGCAAAGAACCAAGAAACTTGAGTTTTAAGATAAACACTCAAAACCAATAAAGAAAACTACAAATTTTACAGATCATAAGCCATGAAAAGACAAAAAAAGATGGGTTTTAGAATGAAATTTCAACTGCTTACCCTCTTTCTTGTCCAGAAACTCAGTTTAAGCTTGAATTAATACATGTATATATATATATATATATATATATATATATTTCAAAAAAAAAAAACCCAACATATTAATTCAAAACATATTATACAGTGCAATTTGAACAGCCTAACTCCAAAATATATAGTATGTATATAAATAAATAACTATAAAAGTATAAATCGTAAATATTAAAAATATTTTTTCACAGTATATATAATATATAATAATATAATTAAGTCAAAAACAATTCAATATTGGACTCATTTCGAAGTATTGACGAGACGATTATAATGGTATAACTTGTTAAAATAAAAATATATTTTTTAAATATGTTTTAATTGATATACGATTATGTATGTTAATTTGATAAAGGTTTAAAATGAAACATTTAAAAGTAAATGACGCAAAATAAATAAATTAATTAATTATAGGGGTATAAAGTATAAATTTAAAATTACAATTTTAAAAAAATCGGTTGTGAGAGGGTGAGTGTATGTGAGGAGAGGAGGGGGTGAAAAAGTGAAAAAATAAGTATAAAGGGTATTTTGGTCATTTAGAATTTTAAGATTTTAAGACTTTTATTAAATTTGCTTAATAAGATAGTATATATATATATATATATAGAGAGAGAGAGAGAGAGAGAGAGAGACTGACTTAGGATCACGTAAGACCAGCCTGTTTTCGTGATACCCGTGGGACCATTTTTTTACACTTGAAACTTTACAACAAAACATTGTGAATGTAACCTTTACAATGTTTTTGCTCTGAAGGTTCCGTTTTTTTTACTTTTACAACGTTTTTCTTATGAAGTTTCAAGTGTAAAAAAATAGTCTAACGGGTCTTATAAAAACAAGTTGGTTTCACCTGAACCCAACACTTATATATATATATATATATATATATATATATATGTTTCTAACAGATGTCTAGTGTTCTAATAAGATTGGTGAGTGTGATGATTTGTTATTAGGGTGATAAGTTAAAAATATATAACAATTTTTATCTAGAAAAAGAAAAAGAAAAAGAAAAAGAAAAATGGAGTTCCATAATGATATCCTTATCATGAACCCAATATTTTCAATGGAAAAAAAGGAGCCTATCGATATCAATACCTAATTACTCTCTATACATGGATCATCATGTTTACTTTAAGTTGTTTGGATATTATATTATAAAACTGTATATATATATATATATATATATATATATATATATATATA